CTGCTGAAGCGGTCCTCCTCCGAGTCCAGCTTCTCGTACTCTTTGATCTGCAAGGCACAGAGACCCTCCCTTGAATGGTTTCTCGCTGCTGCTCCTTCCTTACAGTTTTCTGACCGAGCGACTGGACCAACGGACTGCCAGCCCCAGGGGGCACTGGGGGCACAGCATGACACCAAAGCCGGAAGCCTGATTTGCGCCCCAGTGCCCAGCTGCCCCCAAACCACCCAGTGAATACTCAAGAAAAAGACCTTTGGCAGGACGTCTGGGGCTCGGAATCAGCCTGCGACTGGGAACAGTCATGCCCCACGCGCTGAGACTGCTGGGAGGCCGGAGAGGCCAAACAATTAACCATCGTCCCACGAGGCAGAGCTTGTGTTCTGCTAGCAGAGAGACAGACGTGGGGGGACTCTGGCCTGCTAGAGGTGCGAGGCTGATTTCTCCTCCGCTGCTAACATCTTGTCCTGAAAGTCCCCTTGTCAGATTTCCCCAGCAATTAGCCGGGGGGGGGGGTGTGTGCCATGATGTCACCCTTCGGGCTGCAAGCCCCCAAACACCAACACAAACTCACAGCGTTCTGTCCAAATTGCCCTGTGTCTGGTGCAATTCCAGGGCTATTTTTGGGCAGGAACGCACAGGAACGGAGTTCTGGCTGGCTCCCAAGTTGGCCACGCCCAGCAGGAACTCATTAGCATAATAGGCCACACCCAACAGCAGGAACTCATTAGGATTGGCTACATTAGGGGTGTGTGGCCTAACATGCAAAGGAGTTCCTGCTGCAAAAAGAGGCCCTGGGTTTTGACAACAAACAAGGTAAACAGAATAACAAGCAAAAGGTGGGTGTGGCTGGATGACCACACTTCTGGTAACATGTGGGTGTGGCCTAATGTGCTATTGAACTGTGCTGTCAGGGGTGTGGCCTAATATGCTAATGAGTTCCTGCTGGGCTTTTTCTACAAAAAGAGCCCTGGCAATTACATTCGTCAGCACCCTGGGTCATTTGTTCACTCCCAGTGCAGAATCATCCCCCCCCCTGTCTGTCTGTACACGAGTTGCAGCTCCACCCTCATCCCTGTCAATCACACAGACTGGGTTCCTTGGGGGTGGCAGCATTCTCACCCCCAACACGCCGCCCTCAGAGTAAGCGGCTTGGGGGCGCAGGGGTGAAGTTCCCTCCAGTGTTCCCTCTAAGCTGAGTTAGAGTGAGCCAGCTCACAGTTTTTTATCCTCCAGCTCACACATTTTTGTCTCAGCTCAGGAAGGATGGCTCCAGAGCAAACTAATTAATGCAGGAGCCGAATGGCTTGCTCACAACTTTAATGCCAGTAGCTCACAAAGTAGAATTTTTGCTCACGAGACTCCACAGCTTAGAGGGAACATTGGTTCCCTCCTGTTTTAATTTGCCTATCAGAAGTTTTTTTGGGGGGAGGGGACTTATATTAAGAGTTTCCATTTGCCCCTTCAAGCCCCAGCACAGCTATCAAGCAAGGCTCCCTCGAAGCTGTGGAGTCTTGTGAGCCAAAATCCTCATTTGTGAGCTGCTGGCATTAAAGTGGTGAGCGAGCGGTTTGGCCGCTGCATAAAATAGTCTGCCCTGGAGCCATCCCTTCCTGAGCTGAGGCAAAAACGTGTGAGCCGGGGGCTAAAAAACTGTGAGCTGGCTCACACTCACTCAGCTTAGAGGGAACACTGCGACCAAGATGTCCCCCACACATAACTGTTTCTTCCTCTGAGTCAGTAAGAACTGCGTCCAGACCAGGTATATTCACACCCTGTTACCACCACACATTTTTAATTTATTTTCATTTATTTAATGCAATTTGTATCCCGCCCTTCCCGCCGAAGCGGGCTCACATGGGCATGCAACTTCTCTCTCTTATGCGTCTTGCAACGCCTCGCCCCATCTCTCTCTCTCTCTCTCTCTCTCTCAAAAAAAAACATCACCTCTTACCTTGCCCCCCTCCCCCCCCCCCCCCGGCCAGTCAGATGCAGAGCGGCAGCTGGGAGGGTGAGAGGAGCCAGGGGGTCACGGCACCACCAGCCCTTCGGAGCACTTTTGCTGCTCCCAGCGGGGCCACGGCAGGAACTGCCACCGTGCCAACCTTGCGAGCACCACGTCCAAGACAGGGACTCCTTGCTCCCCCCCCTCCCCACACCAGGCTCCCTGGCAAAGAATCTTCTTAAACGCCCAAATTAGAAGGCGCAAGTTACCTAAGAGCTAAAAAGCGCACACATTTGACAGCTGCAGCTGAATCACTCCCGATAAGTGTTTGATCGTGACTCACAGAGCCAGCGCTGAGATTCCTCGAGTGTGGAGCCCTGCCACATCTGACAAGCTGCTAATGCGATCCCCGTTTCTTCACTGCTTTGCATATTTCAGGCAGGGAGACATGCTGGGGGGGGGGTGTCTTTAACGGGAGTCTTGCATTTCTCAGTGCGGAGGACCCTTCCGGCGACGCTTCCCCCCCCCCACTCCCACACCACCCCTGCCTCCTACTCTAGAGATGCCTGCCAGCGCCTCTGCACATAATGATTTTTAGAAGACAACAAGGGGTAAAGTCACTCCCTTCTCCGAATCACGGCACATTTGACTCCTCATCTGTTCCAAGGCAGGCGGAAGAAGCCTGATCAGAGTTACACAGAACTGGGATGAATCAGAATGGGGCGGGGCCCAGAGAGGATGCTCTTTTTGGTCCTCCATATCCCTCCATAAACCCAATCCCTGTGCCTTTTCCCTCCTTGGATTTACTGCCATGTCCTCAGCAGTAAGAGCGAGGGATACTCGTTCCCCAGCATTCATGGAGTCATAGAGTGGGATGGGACCTCCAGGGTCATCTAGTCCAACCCCTTGCACAAGGCAGGAAATTCACAAATCACCCCCCCCCCCCGTGATCCCCTGCTCCACGCCCAGAAGATGACAAAAAAACCTCAAGGATCCCCGGGCCAAACTGGCCTGGAGAAAAAAATAGCTTCCTGACCCCCAAAGTGGTGATCTGCATTTCCCTGGGCGTGTCAGAAAGGGCCACGAGAACTAAGCACTGAGGCAACCCGTCCTGCCCTCCCTTCTCATGATCTGCCGGAGTTCACGGAATCAGCATTCCCGTCAGATGGCCATTCAAGAGGTTGACCTGCAAAGGCAAGGGGGACCAAACACCCCACGGGCCACCCTGCACCGAGGGCCTGCCCCACCCCCTTCAGGCCACTGGACTCCCAGTACTATACTGAAGAAGGATCCGGCCGTCGCTGACATATTGCGGGACACCCCTTACCTCTTCGTAAAACTTCAGCTGCGGGACCCCTTCTTCAACATCGTTCAGGCAAAAGTCCTTGAACAGCAGAAAACCTGGCAAGTAAAACGTAAGTGTACAGTTAACTGGAACGGGCCTCGCAAAGGAATAATCTAGTAATAATGATCCATCCCCAATTAAGAAAAAAACAGGAATATGATGGAATCTTGCTGGCATGAGTCAAAAATCCCCATTTCAATTTTTCCTTCTTCCTGGTGAAAACTGAACCCCAAGTCTTTATTGCTGAACCATCTGGCGCCCCACATGCTGAATCCCCCCCCCCCAAAAAAGTGCAAATTTTTCAACACCAGATTGCATTCCAAGGATCTGCAGCCCAGGGGGGGCCTTCCCCCAACTCTTGCAACAAGGGGAAACTGATACCAGAAGCGGAACGAATCCATAAGACTTTACTCTATGTCAGTCAATTAGCATATCGTATTTATAAATGATTAATGGTATTTACAACGTCAAAATGCATAAAACAAACCATTAAATTACTGTTTTCAAATGGATTGATTTCAGGTCAAAATGGACAGAAATGTCTGTGTTAAGTCGTGCGCTTAACAAAGAGTCGGAGAGTGATTTCAGCAAGAATGCGGTTTATTCTTCAGCTCAGTTACTTCTCCGTTACGGTACAGCAATCGCCAGCCAGAACCCATCGAACTATTTACACTGGCTTGTCGATATTTAAACACTCCCGGCTAATGTAGCCACACCCCCTGTACAGATAACAACCTATGAGGTTGAAGATACAATACCCAATCACAAGCGGTCCCGCTTTTCATAGTGATTGGTAGACACTCTCTGGGCTAGGACTCCTATTGGTTACATTAGGATCCTAGCCCAGGCTGAAGCTTAACATTAAGTTCCAATGAGGCGATTCGCATGTCAGTATTTACATTCAAGTCAATACATAACAAATCCCTCCCCCCTAAGCAAAAACATTATGTACAATCGTAATCGCTTAAGTAGGTGGGCACTCTGCGCACTCTCTGAGACCTCCGTGGCGTAGGAGGTTCAGGGCACCTTAGAATTGGAGGCACTCGGCTTGACTCACTCTCGAGTGGGTCAGTTACGCTTCCATCCCTTGCAGTGGGTCCAAGAGTAGGGGTCTGCCCTCCCTCAGGGACAGTACTGGGCTCGGCAGGCTCGGCAGTACTCACCTCCGGCAGAGGTATGGGATGGTCCTCGGGGTCGGAGAGTAGGGGTCTGCCCTGACTCGCCGACAGTACCGGGGCCCTCGGGCACATCGGCACTTACCTCAGGAAGAGGTTGAGGAATGTCCTCCGGTTCCTGGAACTCCACTGGCAGTGAGGTGGGGCGGCCAGTCGCCCACCGCTGCCTTAACTGGTCAGTGTGTCGCCTCCACTTGCGCCCGTCCGCAAGCTGGACAACGTACATT